AGTTGCTCCGTTAGGTATCTTCTTTCAACCTTTCCTTCTTTCTAAGCATGTTTTGGGCTCGTATTTGAGTGTGTTGAAGTTCTACTATGATTTGGCTGCTACGTGTATTAGTGAAGGCTTGCGTGGATCAGTCTTTGTGTTTTTTTTCCTGAATTATTTGATATAGATTGGGTTGTATATGAATTGCTTTTTACACACCTCATCTTCTGGGCCCAATAGCGCGTAAACATGATTCCTTTGTCTTTCTGGATTGCTATTGCACCCTCATGGCTTGCTTCTTCTTATTTTATTTTATTTTTATTTTATTTTCCATTTGATTTTTATTTAAATTGTTAAATCAATTTTAAAAATACTTAAAAATATGTTGTTGGTCCTTCAATGTGTTGAGATATTTTTCATTTTTTTTTATTTTTTTTTCCATTTATTTTCCTATTTTATTTTGAATTTATTTGTGAGGTGGTTTGACATGTTTACCCTTGAATTAGGGTTTGACCCTTTGATGCCTTTTGATCACCTTCTTGAACCAATTTTTCTCATATGTTTGGACACTTGATTGATGATTATTTGAAAGTGGTTTTGGTGCTTAGATGATAATTTCTTTGAATGTTGTTTTGATTGATGATTATTTGACCCTTTGATGACAATATTAGGAGTCAGTTTCCCTTAGTTGTTTTCTTTTCAACCTTTGAGTCTTCTTTCTTCTCATCTCAAAATAAAATTAATACACTTAATAAATATGGTGAATATTGCGCGCCACGAGCCTTAAATATATGGAAAATGATGAGTGAGGGGTCTCTCCTTACTTGTCTAGTGTGTTTAGCGTACGTCCCGTCTGGGGGTGATCATGCGATGTCTTCGCTCCTATATCATAGACTTTAGTGTGATATGAATCTCAAATCAAATCAATTCACTTCTCTAAAACTCATAAACAAATTCAAATCATTTTATCCTTCGAGATTGTTTTTCAAATTCATTTTCATAAAAGAGCATGTTATTTCCATTCTACCGCAAACAGGCATCGACCCTAACTGCTGGAACGCGAACTTAACATCGCTCATAAAAAACAGTTAACAATTTGTTAGCCGAACTACAGCTTCTCTGATTTCTCATACCAGATGAGGATACGTAGGCACAACACGGTGATGTATTAACAAACAACCTCCCCCCCCCCCATCCACTCGTAGTCTTTCAAACTACGTCGGTTCTGACTTTCCCATTGCACGAGAGAATACGCAGGCCTAGGACGGCGAAGTCCTATCGAGTCTCCTTTTATTTTTCCCTTTTTCGTTCTCGTTTATGTTTAGCAGTAGGTTTTAGATAACACGTCATTTGATTAGAAAGATGCGAGGGGGTGTTAATACCTTCCCCTCGCATAACCGACTCCTAAACCCAAGATTTGGTTGCGATGACCTTGTCTTCTCCCTTCTTTCAGGTTTTCTTCGGTCGCTTCCTTTCCCTGCATCAGGATAAATAACGTTCGGTGGCGACTCTTCTTTTTTTTTCTGCCAGATGTTTTTTCGCAGTTGCGACAGTATGTTGTCCGCGTTTGAAGAGAGATGACACTCGAAGACGTCGTCATTTCATCTTCCTTATGGTGAGATGTCTATCACATTAGACGATGTCTTGTATCTACCACATCTTTTGATAAGGGGGAGACTGTTAGACCACAACATGATTAACAGAGATGAGGCACTAGAGATGATGGTAAACTATCTGAGATTTGACCTAGGGGAAGCCGTGAAGGAGTTAGAAGCCACCATAGGGACTCATGCTAGGTTTCGATTCTTGGAGAGATTGTATACACAGTGTAACACCCCAAATTTGTATTCACAATTTTTTTGTTATTGGCTTAATTGCAATTTTGGTCCCTTAATTTTTTTTTTTTTTTTGTTTTGATCCCCTTATTTTAAAATTCAAAATTTTTGTCCTTCTATTTTCAATTTTTTTGAGTTTTGGTCCCCCTATTTTAAAATTCAAAATTTTAGTCCCTCTATTTTTATTTTTATTTTTAGTTTTAGTTTTGGTCCCCTATTTTAAGTTTTGTTTTGGATTTTAATCCTCCTTTCCAATTGAGAACTAATTTAATAGGGGATAAAAAGTTTTAAAAAATGAAAATAGAGGGACAAAAATTCCGAATTTTAAAATAGGGGGACCAAAACTCAAAAAATTTGAAAATAAAGGGACAAAAATTCTAGATTTTAAAATAGGGGGATCAAAACTAAAAAAAATGAAAATAGAGGGACCAAAATTGCAATTAAGCCGCTGATAAATTACTCTCTTTTTAAACTTTCATAATGCAACATTATAATGCAACTGTCGGATTAACCAAAAAGATAATGCTAGATATGGGTGGCAAAACGGGTCGTGGACAGCCCATGCACCTGCTAAAAAATAATCGGTTGGATTGAGATTTTAGACTCGCTCCGCTAAAGACCGCCACCCGACAAAGTCCGCCCCGCTAAAACTCGCCGCCCGCGAAAGTCTGCGGCACCTATTCGTTCAGCTTGTCCCACCTTAAATTCGTCCTTTTTTAATTAATTCTACTAATTCCAATTCTTGATGATTTTATTTTATATATTTATTCGAGAATATATGCAATATTTTTTTAAGTAAAATTTGTTAAAAAGATATTTTATAAAAATTCTTCTAAAAAATAAGTGAAAAATTTAATTGAAATATAAAAGCAAACCTATTAATCTATTAAAAAAATGAAGAGAAAAAAATAAATAAATAAATAAATGGATGAGTTAGATTTTTATGTTCATTTTCACTTGACAGGTTTGTCTGTCCCGTTTTTTTTTTTTTTTATAGATTTAAGACGGAGTGGGGCGGGGCGGGGCAGACGGTCCGTTTTATCACTCTTAATACTAGATATATTTTGTTTGACATGTAAGATTAAGATGATATGTATGCTTTCATAGAATGATTTAAGATAATACATTTAAACCATTATTTTGTTGTGACAAAAAAATTTAATTTCATGTAGAATTAAAAACCATTATTTTGTTGTATACTTTCATGAAAAAAAATTTAAACACTTGTCCAGTCACTGTATTAATCATTTGTCCTTCCTATGAATTAGTTTAGTAACTCAAATGTGTGAGTGATCTTCAATTTTAAATCCACCAAGTTTCTCATATGCTAAAAGTCATGCAGAATGAGGAATGGTTATGATGTCTACATAATCAAAAGCATCACTGTCAAAATAGTTTTTCCCTCCTAATTATCATTTCTTCAACATTAAAACCTGCTTATTTTGCATGCAAGTCGAAAACCGCAACAAATGAAGATGAGTTTAAGAAACAGAGCTTCATCGGGGGACAATGGCTTTGACAGAGAAGTATAGGGTGAATCAGGATAAAGTTTTTGTGAACTTTGGCCTTCCACATCAACACAATGGCAACCAATTGCAAGATGAATTGGAAGTGATAATGGAGAACGTGGTATCTTCAAAATAAATTGAAACATATAATGAGAGGGAAGATAGTCTGAGACTTACAAGTCTACAGAAAATAAGTTTTAAAATTAAGCACCAAAAAGTTGAGTTTTAAAATAGAAAGTCTAAAAGTTATAAAATATGAAACTAGAGGACCAAAAATACATTTAAGTTTATTTTAAATATATAATTTTATAAAAAATTTGAAGCATTTGTATGTCTTTTTAAAAGTTATAATTAAGACAAAACTATTCTCTAAGTTTTTTAAGTTATTTTAAAATATCAAGTTAGTCCCTTAAATTTTTTTGTAATGTTTTGATCCGTTTTTTTAAAATCTTCGTTACAATATATTACAAACTTATATACCATTTGAACTGGTTTTTTGCGCTGATCATGAATATGCAATCAAATTTATCAAACAAGTCACGGTTCATGAGAATCAGATAAAAATGAACGAAATAGATAATGAAAAATCAACTATCCAATCAAAATACACAATTAAACGTAAAACTAATTGCAATTTATTGTAACGGAGATTTTTAAAAAGAAACTAAAGCGTTACAAAAAATCTTCAGACTAATTTAATATTTTAAAATAACTTAAAGGATTAAAATAGTAATTTTACCTATAATTAAACTTAAAAACATTGTATCACCATTTTATGTTAAACATTGTCATAAAAGTTTTGTACTATAATTTTAAAACGGTTAAATATAAATTATTATTCTTTCACTAAAAAAAGGTTATTTACAATTATAATGAAATATATAAATGTAGTTTTTTTTATAGATTTTATGATTGTAAAGTTACACAGTATAGTAAAATGAATATTAGAAATTTTAGATCATTATATTTTGAAGAGTGTCACATCAAATTTTAATTAATATAGCAAATTAGATGATGATTTGTCAATAAAATAAATTGTGATTCAGATTTCATATATTATAATAGATTAGTAGATATATATTATTAATATGTGATATGGTGATAAATTTGTTCAGAAGCAATTGATGTCTAGGAATCATCTTATGAGTACTTGAATAAGTGTCTAGGAATCATTGCATCTTATGAATACTTGAATAAATAGTCTTTAGGATGTGGTACATTGTCACTATGTTAATATGCGATATATACTGAAGATGTGTGATAAATATGTTGAGTGAGTGACATAATCCAAATGAATGATGATAAAAGATTGATAAAATAAAATTGTGTTATTCGAACCTTTGTGTTGTCCATTATATATGCTTTATAAGCATGTGTTTTGATTATCACCATACAGACCAGCCCTTTCAAATGTGTAGCGGTATAAAACCGTTTCGAAGTTCTCACAATGGCAAGAATTAAGTACTTACGTTTTTGTTATGACTGACATTTTTGTGTATAATTTGAATGGGTTTAGAGGAAAGTGGTGGCAATGCTTAATGCAAAATAAAATAAAAAGGAATAAACGACTTATGCACCAACTTTGTTGATGATGGTATAACTTAACTCAACGTGTATATATTTCAATTCATATACCAAATGTTCCTGTTGATGACAATATGACAATGTCTATCTAGACTCATTTCTTGCATGAGAGATAGATGCCCGATATTATGGCCACGCCAGCCACGCCAACACCGACAGATGTTAAGACTCTCATTGCAGAGATAGCCGGTTTGGGAGATGGAACTGTCAGGAGATCCTTCATCTGATGAGAGCAAGGAAAATTGTGGTCAGAACATCTGTCAATGGCTAATACAAGAATGGTACTACAATTTTGAAAAGACAGAAATCACAAATAAATGTGAGTGTGTGTGTGTTAGAATTGATAAAATAGGAAAATCCAAAGAATGCTTTATGTGATAAAAATAATTAGAAACTCCAGAGTACATTGACTTGCACACAGGATAAGCTCTAGCATTTATTAAGTTATATAGGATGTTCACATACCACGACAGGTTGCTTCCAATTCTTCTTTATTCCTTGAAGATGCCCTTTTCCAACAACAGCAACAACTGATCTGCTCTCATTTGCCACTTTTAATAATGTGGAGGACATGTACCTGGATATATGCAATATAAGTTAAATCATACAAATAAATACATAATTTTTTTGTACGGGACTTCTAGATAAAGCAGAGGTAAGTTGAACTAATGCAGTCACCCTCAAGTCAAGATACAATGGAGTCAGTTGAACTCAGTTATCAATCCCGGGAAATAGTGGCGCTATCCCGGGATAACGGCACAGCGCAGAGGCCAGCTGCTATGAGAAAGCAGGTAGCGTTTCCATTTGAGATCGCAAGTGCGATAGGTGAGTTTGCGGAAGCGGAGCACTTCCGGCTCAGAGTGGATTAAAACCTATTATCAGTTGACGCTGAAATACCCTATTTACCCTTAACAAAAATAAAATTGGAGGCTTTTTTGTGCTATTTCAGAGTGTACTGTAGCCAAGGTTGTTAAAATTCCGATTTAAAACCTATACTCTATAGATTTCACGTTTCTAGGTTTGCATTTCGTGTAATCGGTAAAAACATTTTTATGTAAAATCGTATCCTAGGACGATTTTAAGTGATTTAAATTACTCTGAAATTGGTTCAATTGTGTAAAAACGTTGGATTTTACTCTTCAACCCGATTTTACCTTTTTTTTGTAAAATTTTAAAAAGCCCATTTAATATTTTACCATGTGAATTCGAAGAACCTTTGTCATCGGGTGATGAATTTGATCAAGTTGAAGATGAAGACACTAATGAAGATGGTGTTGTAGAAGGATTGAACTTTCGATTAAGTTGAAGATGGTGTTATAGAAGGATTGAACTTTCGATAAAGTTGAAGATGGTGTTGTAGAAGGATTGAACTTTCGATTAAGTTGAAGATGATGATGAAAACACTTGATTTTTTTAACTTGAGAAACTTGTGAAACTCTTGTTTTTTAGATAATCTTTTGGATGTTTCTTTTTATGATTGGTGGATAATTTATGTAGTTTGATAAAGTTTATGAATGTTACACTTTATTACGGTGATTTAGTATATTATTCTTTATAATTAAGTTAAGAATTTAAATTGTTGATGCATTTATAATGTTGTAATGTTATATAAGTATATGTATATTTCATGTATATAAATTTAATATTATTTTAATGAGGTAAACTCTACAATTTTAAGTTTCGATTTTACGTTTTGATTTTACCTAACAAAACGAGTCAATGTAAAAACGCGATTATGACAAACCTTGCCTGTAGCCCTAACCTCATAATTTGGGCTCTAGTTTCGGCTCTACGTTCTCATCGTTCTCACTTTTCGCTCGTTCATTTCCACCACTGCCGGGTTCGAGTCCTTCCCTCCTAGCACCGCCGCCTGCAAAGATCTATCTGTTCAGGTTGGTTATTTATTCCTCTGTTCTTCTTTTCTCATCATCATTTGTTCTTTTCTTCTTTTCTTTTTTTCTTCTTTTCTCACCATCTTTTATGTTTAGATTTAATGGACTCTGTTTTTCTTAAGTAATAATAAGTTCTTCTTTTCATCTGTTTTTATGTTCTCATTGACCTCTGTTTTTTAAGTAATAATAAGTTTATGACTTCCTATGTTTTATAGATATTATTTATCTAATTAGTCCAAAGAATAGTCAAATAGCGGTTATCCTACTATCCGCCATCTCATTTTTAGGGTTGGCCGCTCCACTATCCTGCCATCCACCATCATATGTTTTTCACTGATATACTGATAATTTCATCAATGAAGAAACTATTTCATCTAGACTCCAGAATGTTAAAGTGCGTAACTGGATGATATCAACCCAAAAAACAATAATAATAAATAAATAAATAAACTAAACTAAACTAAACATAACAGTATGGTCAATTCAAAAGTATTTCCATATTCTAAGCTCTGAAACAAATCAGGCACTTGGTAAAAAGTCCAAGCTTCCAAGATATTTGAATTCAGACCTCCAGGTTTGGTTAGAATATGCAGAAAATGCCATTAACCAAAACCATGTCTACGATGCTCTTCGAGAACTTTTTTTTTGGTATAAACCGGGTATCCTCTGCGGCAACTGCATAGACTAATCCCTCTAGCCTTGTAGGACCATAATAAAAGTGGACAACAGGTGACAGACACAATAAATGAATCTTTAAATTGAATTAAGTGCAATAGAGCTTACTGATCTCGTTCATGGACAAGGGTCTCCATTAAAGTTGGAAACTCCTTACTCATTTCTTGAATAACCAGAGTTAGCATGTCACTGTCATCCATTTCCTTTAGCTGAAGAAGCGAAGCAAAGCAAAGCCATGTTAGGATATAGACAAGAACTTTGCACAAACATGTATTATTCACACTTATCACTGGTGCATGAAAATTGTGAAATATACCATCTTATTAAGATCATCCGAGCTGGGTAAAAATACTGCTTGGAAAAGTAAAGAGTACACCAATTTTGTCTTGTACCAAAGTGGCATCTTACTCCATGTTCTCTTCAATGTAATCTGTCTCAGTCCAAATCAAAACCCATTAATACAGTAACAGGAAACTTCTAAAACATAATTATAGTCAAAGGAGATGTGGAAAATTTTTACAGCAGAGAGCAAGAAAAAAAAAAGTGATGTAGCATCATCCCTTGTTCTACTACTATACTAGCATTACTAATTAATGATTTAATAAAATATCAAGAGCTGAAAACATGCGAAGAATAGATAGTACATTACATTATATATATATATATGCAATATCAGTGGCTTTTCTTTAAAATAAATACTATCCAACCTGTACAGGGCGGTCGCCGAGTATCACCCTGCCGCCATACTTGATTGCTTCTTCATATGCAACACGAAACTCAGAGCCAGGAAAGACCTCAAGCTTACTGGCAACCTGTCAGAAATTGAAGAGCAGAAAAAGCACAGTACATCAGAAATAAAGCATCCTTGAAAAAAAAAGGAATGAAAGAATATTAGTTGAAAAGGTAATCAAGATGGTAAATGTGATTGGCAAACATAGAAACATGCCTTGGCTAGGAACCAACCATAGATTACTCCGAACATGTTCTGTTTTTTCTTCAAATTTTCAATCATTTCTCTCATAGTAGGTACCTGGATGAAAATAGATAACTAAATGACAACCAACATAATGATGAAAATAAAGAAACTTGATAGTGATATAGTTAAACAATATTTTATAGACCACTAAAACCATGTCAATTATCATTTTCTTACTAAGGAAAAGGGTGATTTTTTTTTTTGCCTCCTTTATACACAAGGAAAAATAAAATACACATAAAAAGCAAGCTTAAAGGTTTAAAACATCAAGATAAATAAGCAAATAAAATGATGATTGTTCATCCTTTAGTCAGCACAACACCAGTAAGCAATGTAAATATTAGGAAATCAGATACTTGACCATTTAAGTAACCCTGCCATTTCAAAAAAATAAAAAAATAACCCTGCACTCATCTAATGCAGAACTGAAGCACGTTGATATTCTCTTACAGTAAAATACTTTCCATAGAAAGTGATAAAATAATAAGAACAAAGTCAAAGATAATTGTTAAAATACAAGAGACTAAGAGACATTTGAATAAACCGTGTGTTTTTGAAAAACACTACGGAGACATTATTATATATAGAGAGATTACAACTAATTACACGATATAGTCGATGTGGGGCTATTCTATATACAAATATTTTTAACACTATATTTACAAATATCAATACTCCCCCTCAAACTTGAGCATATAAGTCAAATGCACCAAGCTTGTTACATATATAATTAGTTCTGGGACTTCGCAAGAATTTTGTAAACATGTCTGTCAATTGATCATTAGAGTTGACAAAGCTTGCGACGATGTCACCTAACTCGATCTTCTCTCTGACAAAATGACAGTCTATCTCAATATGTTTGGTCCTCTCATGGAAGACTGGATTTGATACAATGTGCAATGCAGCTTGATTATCACAAATAAGTGTCATTGGTCTTTCTTCTTCAATTTGAAGTTTCTTGAGCAACTGTTTTAACCAAATAAGTTCACATGTTGCCATTGCCATGGCCCTATACTCTGCCTCAGCGCTTGATCTTGCAACTACATTTTGTTTCTTACTTTTCCAGGATATAAGGTTTTCTCCAACAAGTACACAATACCCAGAGGTGGATCGTTTATCAATGGGTGACCCTGCCCAATCAGCATCGGAGTATCCAATTATCTGGGTATGTCCTTTATCCTCATACACAAGACTTGGAGCACATTTGATGTATCTCAGAATCCGGATAACAGCATTCATGTGTTCCTGACAAGGGCAATTTAAGAATTGGCTTACCACACTGACTGCAAAAGATATGTCCGGAAGAGTGACTATGAGATAATTCAACTTTCCAACCAATCTCCTATACCTTCCTGAGTCAGATAGAGGCTCCCCTTGGTTGGGTAGTAGTTTAACACTTGGATCCATATGAGTATCGGCTGGTTTAGCATTTAACAAACCTGTTTCTTCCAAAATATCCATAGCATATTTCCGCTGAGAAATCACCAAACCATCTTTAGATTGAGCTACTTCAATACCCAAGAAATAGAGGAGTTTACCAAGATCTTTTGTCTAAAATTGTTTCGAGAGATGTTTCAACTGGAGTGTTCCCTGCTGATCACTACCAATTATGACAATGTCATCTACATACACGATAAGATAAATACACCCTTGGGGTGAGTGACGATAAAAAAACAGAATGGTCAGCTTCACTACGGACCATACCAAACTGTTGTACTACAACGTTGAATCTGCAAAACCAAACTCTCGGAGATTGCTTAAGACCATAAAGAGACCTGTGTAGCCTACACACCATATTCGATAACTCCCCCTGAGCAACAAACCCAAGTGGTTGCTCCATATATACTTCCTCTTCAAGATCCCCGTGTAAAAAAGCACTTTTAATGTCAAGTTGGTGAAGAGAACAATGTCGAATGGCTGCAATGGCTAGAAGAAGTCTAACAGATGCCATCTTGGCTACAAGTGAGAAGGTATCACTATAATCCAACCCAAAAATCTGAGTGTATTCTTTGGCTACCAAGCGAGCTTTAAATCGATTGATCTTACCATCGGGACCAACCTTCACTGTATAAAGCCAACGACAACCTACTAAAGATTTTCCAGGGGGTAGAGGGACTAGTTCCCAGGTACCACTGCTTGCTTTGAAGAGCACACATTTCATCAATCATTGCTTGTCTCCATTCAGGGTGAGATAATGCTTCACCTGGATTTTGAGGAATAGAAACAGAAGATAAAGAAGACAAACAAGTATACTACAAAGGAGAAAGACGATGATAACATAAATCAATATAATGTGGAGAAGGATTTCGTGTTTGACGTATACCTTTTCGAAGGGCAATCGGAAGATCGGACTCAAGTGGCAGGATCGGATCCGGTGATGGCGCAAGCGTCGGAGGAGAGTCTGCAATGACCTCAGGAACAGATACAACCTCAGAAACAAGTACGACAGACATTGGTTGACGACGCTGATATGTTTGAAGTGGGCGAGAAGTGGGGGGGTCAATTGTAGGCCTATCTAGTGGGCTAGGTTCCCTATAATGATGGGGGACAATGGCAGATGGGACTTCCGGAAGAGGTGTGGGAATACTCTCCTGAAGGGGTTCGGAGTTGCTTGACTGGACTTGAAATATGGAACAGGCTCGAAGAAGGTAACATCGGCCGACATGAGGTATCGTTGTAGAGTATGTGAATAACAACGATAACCTTTTTGGGATCGATGATAACCAAGAAAGACACACTTTAGTGATCGAGCTGATAGTTTATCAAGACCAGGGGAGAGATTATGTATAAAACATGTGGACCCGAAGACTCGGGGAGGAATTGGGTGAAGTGGAGAATTGGGAAAAAGGATTGAGTGATGGATTTTATTGTTAAGGACAGACGAGGGCATGCGATTTATAAGGTGACATGCCGTTAGCACAGCATCCCCCCAAAACCGAAGTGGAACATTACCATGGAGAAGTAAGATCCGAGTGGTTTCTACGAGATGCCGATTTTTGCGTTCGGCTACACCGTTTTGTTGAGGTGTGTGAGGGCAAGATGTTTGATGGAGAATATCATTGTGTGACATAAAATTTTGAAATTGTTGGGATAAATATTCACGGGCATTGTCACTTTTTAAGGTACGGATAGAGACACCGAATTGAGTTCTTATTTCTCGATAAAATTGTTCAAAAATAAAAAACAATTCAGATTTATTCTTCATTAAAAATAAACACGTGCAACGTGAAAAATCATCAATAAAGGTGACAAAATATCTAGACTCAAGAGTAGAGACAGTACGCGAGGGACCCCAAACATCGGTGTGAACTAAAGCAAAAGGGGACGAAACTCGTTTGTTGACTCGATTGGGAAATTGACTACGAGTGTGTTTCCCTAACTGACATGACTCACAATGTAAATTAGATACCTTCGATAAATTTGGCACCAACTTATGTAATTTGGAAAGACTGAGATGACCTAACTGAGCATGGATAGTGAGTGGAGAATCTTGGGGTGAGCATGTCAGAGATGACAATGAAAGGTAATAAAGGCCTTGAGACTCATATCCGACGCCGTCCGTCCCGAACTCCGATCATGCAGAGTAACATTATTGTTAGTGTAAGTGACACTACAATCAAGAGAACGAGTTAAACGACTGACTCAAAGTAAATTAAATGGACAATTAGGTACGTAGAGGACAGAAGTAACAGAGGGAGAAGGTAGAATTTGAACAGTACCAATCCCTTGGATCGGAACCATTGACAGAAGTTATAGTAGGTAAGAAACCAGAGGTAGAGAGGGAAGAGAAAAGATTCTTATTACCAGTAACATGATCAGACGCACCAGAATCAAGGACCCAAGGTCGAAGAGGAGATGACTGAGAGAGGCAAACAGATGAATTACCAGTGTGTGCTACCGTAGCAGTAGAATCTAAGTTATGATAATTCTGATACCACCTAAGAAAATCATCGTAGTTGGGCGTAAAGTTTTAAAGTGTAGCCATGAGTATCTGAAGAGAGGTAGCGCGTGCGGGCGCGTGCGAAAGTTTCTGCCGGTGAAAAAGTTTGTCGAAAGGTCGTCGGGAATAGTAGCGACGACGGCAGACGGCGGCTATGCGGTTATGACCAGAGAATATTTGAAAACTGATGGTGGGGTCGGCTTTCCGGAACGTCGCCGAAAGTTTTGTCAAAACAATACCGATGGTAGTGGTGGTAGGGCGGTTACCGAAGAATTTTGAAAAGTGAGAGGCAAACTGGAGTGACAACATGGTTTGCAAAAAAAAAATTCTCACCAGAAGACGGTGGGTCAACCGGGTAAAGCACGGCAAAAAAAGAATTGTCTGTTAGCAAGCTCTAGATACCATGTTAAAATACAAGAGACTAAGAGACATTTGAATAAACCGTGTGTTTTTGAAAAGCACTACGGAGACATTATTATATAGAGAGAGATTACAACTAATTACACGATATAGTCGATGTGGGACTATTCTATATACAAATATTCTTAACACTATTTACAAATATCAACAATAATGATGGGAATCCGAAATTCAAAATCAGAAATTAAGTAAGCAGGAGGAAAAACAATGGAAAATATTTGATTGACGAAGAAAATAAAATTGTATAAGGAAAAGAATTCCAAACTACCCCAGATATAAGCTTCTCATAAAAGATACAATTCTATCTCTACCCAAACCAATACGATTCCTACCTGAATAATTCTCAATCCTTCTCTCTTACTATCCCTATCCTTTATATAACTATCATTCCCCTCAAACCAACTAGCCACATCAGCAAATATAACTCATTTCTATATTTGACACATTTGTTGGGCTTAGGCCCAAACCAAGTACCTAACAATACCCGCCCCTTGAAAAACAGCCTTGACCTCAAGGCTGCGATATGCATCCCTTGCTGCCAAATGTTTCCTCGGCACAAAAACTTGCATCTATCAAATACAAAGTTGAACAACCCATAAAAATAAAAATAAAGTAAACCACTCCAGAGTAGTCACAACTTGTAGCAGCCATAGGAAAATTGAGTTCTCCTAGGTCCCATTGCCTGATCAACATTGAGTAATGCAATGACATTATCTTCTCATGACCTGGTGATCCCCTTGGCTTGTCACACTACTTGAACTCACTTCTACAACTAAAATCATACCACCTTCCATGGTCTTTCCTGTTTGAGCATGTATCTCCACACATAGAAACTCTTGAGGTATTTTTCTGGTGACAACATTAAAACAGGCCTCATATATTACATTCACCGGCTTCTTGAGTGACTTAGTTGCCGAATCTAATGGCCCCCATGCCAAACCATCAGTTTTCTCTACACATTTATTTAAAATAGGTCTCATACATGACAAAATTCTGTAAACCAATGGGAAGAGTTCTGAATTTTTACATACTATACACACAAACTTGTTTGGATCCAAACTCATCATCCAATAGTTTTGATCTGGCTTCTTCTGTTTAGTACGCTGCAGTTTGGTGTTTTTAATGTGATACATAAATGATCTTTTTGGTGTTTTTAATGTGGTACATAAATGTTCCATTTTGAAGGAAGAATTTAGCTGGGCCATGGAACCAAGGGTATGGGATAAATGGATTAGAAAATAAAAGTGCTTGGGACATGCATGAAAAAACCACTGCCACATTAGTTGAAGGTAGAACTTTGACCAAACTTTGATGCTCTCATCATATGATGTAGACAATATGGAGGAAGGGATAAACCGATTAAAATTGAAGCACACAAATTGCACTTATTATATAATAAGACTTAACTTGCACCTCACATTTTAGTATCATCTCTAAAGGGTGAGAGGACTCCTATTGTGATAAGTGAGGAACAGCTGGTTCATTAATTGATTGTCTAGAAATTTGGAAAGTGGATAATAGTTGGTTGCTCCATTCTGCCCCTTCATCTTCCTGAAGGTTCCAAACAGCAACAACAACCACAAGACTTGCCTGATCAGTGTGCACGTGCTCAACTGGTATGGAATTCTTCCTTGCCGCAAAGAAATTGGTTGTCTGAGACTGGAGGATTCACACCTCCTGAACCTGTGTATGTATGGTGGTTCTGGTGGTGGTGGGATCATGGCCGGACCTCCCAGAACTCGCTTTTCTAATGTGGACACATGCGAGTTCCGATCTATTACCACAACACATGCCCGGTGGTTCTATAGGTGGTGAGGGAGCAACGGGAATCTAAGCAATTTGATTCTTTCCATTTGTCAGATAGTCGATGTGCTTGATTTCCACAACCACCGCAAAGAGGGTGGCGTCTGTTGGCTCAGGCGGTGGTTTGAGAACAAGCACCTCCACTTTCCTTCCTTGCAGATCGAAACATTAAGAGATCCCTATATGTGAATCCACGTTTGGCGATTCCGGTGGGGGTCGGAGTTTGACGACAACCGCTTGGATCATTTGAATCTCGTTTTCCACCACATGAAGGTCGGTGTCTGGTGGCTCCAGCGATAGAGGCGGCTCAAAAACAAACACCTGCTCCTTTCTTCTTTGCATCTCATTCATTCTGTTAAGAGTCCCACATCAGACAATATATATGGCATGAACATGTGTTTATAAGTGGGGGCAATCCTCACTCTACCAACCGGTTTTGTAGGGTTGAGTTAAGCCCAACCACATTTCTTAACATAGTATCAAGAGCCTCGTTTAAGATCCGGTAGGGCACCTTCTATGGTTTCTGCTATCGGGCCACCCATCATTGATTTTCACGCTTCAATTGTCCAGTCCTGAGCGTGAGGGGGTGTTAAGAGTCCCACATCGGACAATATATATGGCATGAACATGTGTTTATAAGTGGGGGCAATCCTCACTCTACCAACCGGTTTTCTAGGGTTGAGTTAGACCCAACCACATTTCTTAACACATTCTTTCATTAAACATTGTTTGTGTTCCTCGTTTTCGGTAATCCGTTTCTATCACTGGATCAACAATCTCTTTGAAGTCAAATTCTACTTTTGTAGAACATTTTGCTTCTCGTTCAACACCGAAGATCATCTCCCCTAACTTTTGTATGTTTCTGTCAAGTTCAATTCCTCTAACTTTGGCTCATTGTATGTTTCTGTCACCTTCACCCCAATAATAAAACCTTTAGCATCACTCCTTCATCTTCCATGCTCATGAATGCCCATTGCAACTTATCCTCATAATGAATTTTGTTCTTCTCAAAGAACTTTTCAGCCGCGGAGATCCAACCAACAGGATTTGTCCCCAGAAAATCTGGTAATTCCCTCTTCATAGTCCATACATCCTCCATCGCTGGCTCTCCGTGTAGCTATCCGGTAGTTTTCGGCGATTTCCGACAGTTATCCAGCAGTTTTCGATAGTTATCCAGCAGTTTTCGATAGTTATCCAGCAGTTTCCTGTAGTTTTCGGCAGTTATCTATAAGTTATCCAACAGATTCCGATAGTTTCCAACAGTTATCTGGAAGTTATCCGGTAGTTCAGAACAATGATGGGAATTCGAAATTCAAAATCAGAAATTAAGTAAACAGGAGGAAAAACAATGGAAAATGGAATGTATTTGATTGCAAAGAAAATTAAATTGTAGAAGGAAAAGAATTCCAAACTACCCCAGAGCTAAACTCCTCATAGAAGAGACAATTCCCGCTCTGTCCAAACCAATATGGTTCCTAATTGAATAATTCTCAATCCTTCTCTCTTGCTATCCCTATGTTTTATATAACTATCATTTCCCTCTAACCAACTAGCCACATCAACAGATATAACTCATTCCTTTATTTGACACATTTGTTGGGCTTAGGCCCAAATCAAGTACCTGACATTCTAGCTATAAACTAAACCAAGTACCTAATATTCTAGCTATAACTATTTGACATATTTTTTTCAAATATTCTCTATTTCTAGAAAACTTATGCGCCACGAATATATTACTAGTTGGTATTCACTTTTGTGAAACAAAAGTGATTCAAAAAGCAAAAATTTGCTTGTAATATTTGGGTGATATCATAAATCACCTGTTATTCAAATTAGTTTTAACCAAAATCAATTTTGGTTACCGCACAACCAAACCCACACATAGAAAGTCCCAATTTTTTTGCAGGACACAAAAATTCACATTAGAAAGATACAGTGCATTGCCAACCTTGCTCATTGTAAAACACCAAGTTAAAAAGTAGAGACCTTAAGATTTTGAAGGGTAAGAATTGACACGCGACTCGAGCACAATTCGAGGAAGACAGCCTGCAGAAAACATAGATCAACCATATGGTTTCATCATTAAAAATGTACAAAGAAAAGAAAGGGAAACAGCGTGAAGTAAAAATCAGGCAGCTCAGCCTATAGTTTAATAATGGAGTTCAAAAGGAAAACAACACCTCTGGTTTCAGTAAACTGACAATAGCTTGAACTTCTCTGCTTGATTCCTGCAACATAGTTCAACATAGATGTTAAGCTTTAACTCATTCAGTTTTCACCACAATTCAACTGTAACGAATTCAATTGAGACCACAACTGGGACCACCAACTTATGTCTACATTTTGCTGCAGTATCAAGGTTTGCAACCACTGTAGCACCGACATCTCTAAAAAAGAATGTGTGTATGTGTCAGGTATCTGAAACTCTGTCAATGTCTTTCAGGTGTCCGTGTTTCATAGTTTGCAACTTAACAGCAGCTAACACCGCATTGTAGAGTCATGCATTTTACAAAACAAAAGGCAATTCTAATTGAAATGAATGAATAAAAACACCATACCAATCAAAATTGAAATGAAAGAATAGAAACAAAATGCCTGAGGAAAAAAAAAAAAGAGAAAACCCCTAATTCTTTGTTATGAATAATATAGACAGTGAAAATGCACAATGCAACAAAAAAAAAAGTCACACCAAAACCAAAACACCAAATTACCTCCGAGACATGAGCGGTACCGACCAAGTAAACATCGCAAACACCGCCCTCAGCGGAGGACTCACACGTCAACACGATCACATTTCTCGAGAGTTCCTCCGGAAGCGCAACCGGGGTGCGATCTACATCCACCGAGGCTTCTTCAGGAGCAGACGAAGCTGCATCGACGGCATCAGAGGAATGATCAATTCGAACCATGCTATCAGACAAGCTCTCCATTTTCAGATCGTGGATGTGGACGAATTCTTCTCCCTCAACAGCGGGAGTGTGGGATTCCGGTGGTTGTGCATCCATTGCCGGTGAGTGTTTTCGGCGGAGTTTGAGACCGGTTGTGGTTGAGAATTGGGGTAAGGTGATGGTTTGGGGAAGCGAGATGGTTTTTCTGAGTGATGATTTGGAGCGATGAATGAAAGGAGCGAGTCGAGCGAGTTGAGTACGAGTGACCAGGTGAGTCATAAGTAAACGAAAACTGAATATGGTTTCTTTCTCACTCAAAGTGATAAAATAAAAGTGTATACAAATGGGGAAAAAATTTTAAGAGAATACCCACTTTTTGAAAAAAAAAATTTCAAAATAACCGGCTTTTTAAACTATTTCTTAAAGTATCTCATTTTAAAATACTAATTGAATGCAAGCGTCAAATAAATTGACGATCTTTTACAAAGGTTATGTGATGTCGTCAATTGAATTGGAGATAATAGTGTTGTCAATTCAATTAACCATACTGTGTAAAAGTTATAAGGGTGATGCTAATTCAACTGGAGACAACCTTGAAAGTAAATTTTTTCTTATAAATAGAGGTATTCTGATCATTTATTTCTACAGGTCATCTCGTATCTATGTATTATTAATAACATGTATCTTCGTCGCTACAGGGAAGTCATATATTCGAGAGAGAAGCCTCCGATGGACATGCTGTTTTGAAACATTCAAAGTTTCAACCAATTAAAGAGGGAGCTAAATCGGTTGTTAGAAGGAGACATTCCTGAAGGGAAAAAACTAGAAGTATCGAGATACATGATCGCCTGCGTGGGTAGGTTCACGTTAAGACTGACAAGGATGCGAGGAAAGTGATGTTTGGACCGAATGACATCAGTTTGATTGTTGTAATCAGGTAGAAATGTTTTGTTTTTCTGTTCCGTTATCTGTTGTATGTATTGTTTGTTGTTAACGTTGTTATAACAAAAACTCATTAATATATGAAAATATAAGATTACAACAATTGAAAGAAGAAAATAAATTATGGTGTAGAGGTTGCTCCGACATTGGGACAATTTTTACAACTGTGTCCAGGCTGACAACATATACTGCATAATCTTATCATTTTATCAGTCGTATCTATTTTTGTTCTTATACGCGTGTTGTTTGGGCGTTCTTTTTTCTTTCTTCACATCTTATCGTCGTGTCAAACTATGTCCCCTTGATATGGAGGTTAATATTCCTCCATTGTTGGCACTACAAAGCCTTCGTTGTAGACATTCATAACGTTAATGGCCTTGTAAATATCAGATAGATGGCTATAAACATCCTGACGAGCATGTATGTCGCAATGACATGTGAGCAAGGTACACGAAAGGCCTGATACTTGCCACAGTCACACCAACATTTGTTTAGTTTGACAGCATAGTATAAATTTGGCCTCCCCTCATTATAGTCCATTGTTTTCTATACACTGAAAGTTTTCCTATGACGGTCAAAGACTGAAAGTCTTCCTTGGTACGAAACTTGTCTCCCATTTTTAATTCATTCTCTGACTGCATATACGGGTTGTAAAACATATCTGAGGATCTCTCATCGTCTTGCAAGTCTAAGTCTGTCATATGTTGAGGCGTACAATATACATGACCTAGAGGTATTGGCACTTGTTCGTCATCTCCAATGGTGTTGTTCAACAATTGATCGACTAGCGTTTTACTTCCTTCTTCTTCGTCATCAACGACGTTGACCTCCAGTTCAATTTCATCTGAGTATTCTGTTTCGGTTTCATCTGAGTCTGCACCTGTTGATTGATTGATGATTTGAGACTGTTGAGATGGAATATTTTGTTCGAGTAACGTATACAACTCAATATAGTTGAAACCATAATGTTCATGCCTAACGAACATATTTTCATTATCTTCATCATCTCGCACCTTAAGTGGATAAAATTTAACGTGGTTGGTTTTTAAAAAACTGGGTTTTGATATATTATTTGTGATATAGGACCAACCCCTAATTTTGATTTCAATCTATCTTTGAAATGCAAGAAACTTGTGTTTCTATTGATTGTGAATCGGATTATATCGGTATTTTGAAAACCAAACCCAGTGTCATCAGAGACATATGTATCTCTGTTGTAATGGGCGTTAATAATGTATCTCGGTGCAGATGACATCAAAGAATTCTTGTTAGAGACTTACTATTTTTGGTTACTTCAGATGAAAATGCATGGGGCTGGTTAAATATGCATGAGAGCATTTGTTAGAAGTATTTTTCGGTAGTGTTTTATCGTATCCACAGGGATTGATGAGAATATGTGATGCTTGCCATTCAATGGTTTAATGATTTAAGAAGGGGGGTTTTAAAATGGTTTATATTTTTGTAACAAGAGTTTGTAAGAAATAAACGGAATAAAATTTGGTCTTAGTTCGATAAAAAGCATGCCAAGATTAGGGTTCGCTAATCCGTCATAAACGTATCCAACAAATCAAATATCTGAACGTAGTTTTAATCAACATAGTCGCGTATCCTCGCAAAACCGTTCATTTCTAAAGCGATTTCGTGAATGTTATTGTTTCGACCGTTAAATGATCTCTCTAAATAACACTCAAAACAATAATCATTAAGATCAATACAAAGCGACTATCAACTTTCAAAACTATGTCTAGAGTTTGTATAATTGATAGATGAAGAAATTAGGTCAAGACTTGAAAAGTTCATGTCTAAAGTAATCCAAACCATAAATATAACAAAAGATAGCAAATAACTTCATCTATATTGATCAAAGCCTTGTTCACATACAAAAGATCAAGAAGAATACATAAAATATGAACTAGCTACCTCTAACCTTGGCAAAAGAGGGGTTTTAGCCACCCATTTCCATGATAGCTTGAGCAACAAGTTTCGAAAGAAGGTTGATCAACATCCGAGTCGAGTAATCGAGATTGGATGGGAATCCACCTTCTTTTTGTGAAATATGGCTAAGAGATGATGAGAAATGGAGAAACTAGGGTTTTAGCTTTGAAAAATCTCTCCAAAGAAAAGTACAAGAAAAAGATGTTTTCCCAAAAAGTACCACATACTACTTATAGACATGTTGCTGAGCTGTCATGTTCGCACTGCGAACAAAGTGTTCGCCTAGCGAATAATGTGAATTGGCAGTTGAAGTGCCTGTGTACAGTGAAGATGCCCCTAAGATATTTCCACATGTTCACTGTGCGAAGAATCCTTCGCAGTGCGGAGGCTTCGCTGCAAACTTCGCACAGTGAATTCTTGTCCATATACTTACTGCCTCAAGTCTGGGGGTGTTCGCTACGCATTCGCTTCCTCTTTGCTCCAGCGAATACTTCGCTGCCTCCTTCGCACAGCGAACTTAGGTCCCTTTTCGATCTGGATGAATAGTATCATGGTTTTCATGGCCTTCGCTGACAAGTTCGTTGTGCGAACTTGTTGAAGTTTTTCTAGGCAGGTTCGCTAGCAAGTTCGTAGTGAAAACTTGTTGATGTTTGCATGCTGACTTGGTTTCCTGTCATAATTTTTGTGTCTTACTCTTCAAATTTTCACACCTAATTCCTGCACAATAGCACACAAATCAAAGTAACCAAGGTATTTTCACGTAATGATGAAAATCAACAAAAACAAGAATGATTCTAACACTTTCTCTACAAATAAGCAAAGTTTTTCACGTAATGATGCCCACATTTGATAGATCAAATAAGTAAAGTTTGGCATCTAACAACTTTCCCCAACTAGATCTTTGCTTGCCCTCAAGCAAATTATGCCTCTTGTTGAAACAAGAGGATTTGCTCAAGATTAAGATTTCTCCAAGAATGGATCAAATGGCTCAAACACAAGGAATGCAACCAGACACGGGTTCCAACTGATGAGAATCAAATAATGCACAAGAACTAAAGTCTTAAAGCAATTATCAAAACATGCATCAATCAACAATTATGTCTTCTTGAATGAATCACCTTATCTTTCCTCTTCGAAAAAAGATTGAAGAAATTGCGCGTTTGCAACCGTGGGGACTATTTCAATCACCTAACAAACAATGCCAATATCAATCTAATTCATACAATATCTAACAATCAAAAATGAAAATATGGAAGCAAGAAGATCACTAAGGTCTTTTACGGTTGTAGCTTGGTCGGGTTTACAAACAAGGGACATTTCTAAGACCATTGAAACGAAATTGCTGATGCAAAAGAGACATTCACTGTACATGTTATTTACACATCCCAACTTCATTCCATTTGTTTTTCCATTGCAAACCTTCCAACTTTATTTCACAACTTATTCTTTCACTATTTTTTTTCTTTTTCAAGCAATCATTCTTTTTCTCTTTTTTTTTTTTATATTCATATTCACCCAAATTTTTTCAATGCTTGCTTGAATTTTCCAAGAGTTGTAGCAACCCACCATACTTTTTTTTCATTCTCCCCAACTTAACTTTTACTCAGCCCTCAAGTGAATGCTCTTAGGTTTTTATGGCAAAGAGGACAATTAACACAAAATTCAAGGGTTTAAGATAAGTTTTTAGAATCTCACAAAATTCAGACTGAGATTCACACTATTTAGGCTCAAGGGGTTAACGAATTCTCTCTGCTCACGGGTAAGTTTGGACGTGGTTGTGCTCAATATAAACAAGTACCTCGATCATTTCTAATTGCTTCCACAAATTCACAATAATAACAAGATAAAGCATGAATCAAACGAATCAACAAAGTCTATTAGAAATCCAGCATTTAGTACACAATGGAGGCTTCCTCACAATTTGTGATTTTTTTAGTCCTACGTGAAACATTCATTCAACAAGTTGCTAAAAGAACAATTTTCATTTACAACACGATCTAAGTTCTTAAGCATTCTAAAATTCTAACCAAAGGTAACCATGTATCTTGACATTATTCGCTTGCTTAATATAATCATTGTCATCTAAATGTAGGCCTGACCTCAGGCCAACTCGCATGCTCCAGGAACTGTTCCCTAGTCATCATGTTGCACTCTACGGAGGGATCTCGGCACTGCAATTGGAGTACCTGCATAGAGTCATGAATGTCAATCATGGCACACTGAGTAGCCGCCGCCCAATCTCAATTATAATTGCAGACAACCTGCTAAAACGGATCAGAATTCTACGTGAATGCAACACTAGGGCCCTCAGTAACCCCAACATCTGAAGCAGTTGAACTCCCTTTTACACCTTTAGGCCAGCAATATTTGTCCATATAACGGTCATCAATGGTAGCCGGGAT